TGATTCGCTTCAAAATTTTGCATATATGTTTTCACCAGTGAGATTGTTCTTATAGTCAACAAACTTACCTTTAATCATAAAGAGATCAAATATGCAACAGCGAAACGGGAAATCATGCAGAATCATTCTGCATTGCAAATTGGTCATGTTGTTCGCAAATCCTTGCCGTTTTATTGACATACTTAACAATAAACAATTCTGAATGTTCTTAATGGTCGTAGGTTGATTTTCAGCGACTTGGTCAGCAGATAGGTTTAGAGTACTGAGTGTCGTGCAGTAGACGGTCCTAACGAACTAAGTCAAATCTACCGTCATTGTGCATGTGCTTATGAAATACTCAGGGATTTTTTATTCTCTAATCAGTGAGTATATCTTCAGATATCCTCTTTATGTTGCCGTAACTTGCTAATATATGTAACTTGGTGATGTTTGACTGTAAGGCATTCTCATCATGTCTTTGACTGTTGGACCACTGCTGCCGACAGTGCACGTCGTGTGCTACAAAAATAAGCTGAGTATGCCACGGTTGTATGTGAATGAATTAGTTTATTATTTATTAGTTTAGTGTAGATCTGCGCTGCTTATACCGCACTCCCCCTCTCTTCCCCCTTCCTCTCCCAAAAGCGTCAACAAGACATAGTCAAGAAGACCGGAGGGGGGGGGAGGTTGCAGCTGGCTGGTACGGTTGGACCTGCACCAAGGCGTACTACCAAACCCCTGATACAAACAAATACTTAACCAGAGTTCTAACCAACAGCAAGGACACAGCGGGTCAGAGTGACGATGAGGATGACTGGGCGGCCATGATCACGGCTTACAGATCCTGACACAGGAGATGCTGACAATTGAGATTTGAAAATGCAAAATATCCGCGTCCATAATCTGAGCAATATGAAGGGCTCATCGGATCAGTGGAGAATGGTAGTAGCGGCCAAGATAAGGGAGACTGGAATGGCCATTTTTGGCTTATTAGCCATCGTCAGGCAACCATTCCCAAGCCCGAAGTGTGGAGCACCCGATCCTTGAACTCGCGAGCTGTTGGTTTAAACGTCCAAGCCCCTACTCACCGGGCATCGATCTCTGGTGCTTTACACTTCGTGCTCTGGTATGGCTGGCTGACGTCGGCTGATAAGCCAGAAATGGTCATTTCAGTCTCCCTTGTCTTTGTCGGTATTACGATTCTGCCTATATATCATGCACCACTGTGCGGCTGCTTTTGGGTTCCAGAAAGACCCCTTAAGGCACAACGGAACGAGTGAGTTCCGTCGTAACCATCGGTGAGCGCCCCCTATCATTATGCATACAGGCGCACACCGATATGTTGTCTTCACGAAGCAAACAAACTCCGTATGTGTGGCAAAGGTCACGAACATGCAACCGATAACCGGGTCAATTCATAATAGCAGTGAGGGGGTAGGACGGATATTGCGTGTAGTTTGATACAGTTCTCTTTCGGGCTTATTGTCCCTTCCTTCTGCCAATCATTACACTGAGCAACTTCTTAGGCTTCATACTGCATTCCAGATACGAATATTAACTCAGTGCCTTAGCACTTATTTCGTCGATGTTTCTTCCGCAACATGACGCAGTGACCAGTTATTCTTTCCCACAATGGGTTATGTCCTGGACAGTTTTCTCTACGTTATTTAATTTATAATTTATTAAGTCGTTTTTCCAAATACCCTTACATATACCGTAGGTGCTGACTTTTTCATTATTATCCGAAATCAGAAATGGGCTTTTAATTCGAATATATTTTACCATGTTAACTTAATACATCGACATTTAGCAAAATGCCCAGAATTCATTGGTGTGTTCAAATACGCCTCCTGATGTATGCTGAAAGCGTCAACCTTGCCACATTGCTGCAATTCTTTCTCTCACCGTCTTTCTGGTAAGGTAGACGATGCTGTCAATAGCCGAGATCCTGCAATTGCAACAGGCTTTTGTCTGCTTTCTCGGCTCAATGTTTTTGGAGCACGGTTTCCATTTAACTGACCTCAGTTGTAAAGAACTGGATGAAAGTTATCATCGGGATTAAATCCTATCAGTCACTATAGCCAATAGTGTGATGGTCACAAGAAAAGCAGTCGTACAATAAGATGCCGCCGGAATCTCTAAGTCGGGTTGAAAATATTTCGATCCGTTATAATTGGCTGAATGAAGGCACAAGAAGCCCAAACTGTACTGTATCAATTTTCCCACATTCTCTGTTCTCCCTCATCGCTGTTATTATGACTTGGTCGACTTTGCCCTGGTAATTGGTTTCTTGTTCGTGACCTTTGACACACTTACGCAGCTTGTTTGCCTCGTGAAGCCAATATATCTCTGCGCGCCCATTCGTGATTGAATATATATATATATATATATATGGAAAGGTAATACCGACAAAGTCTTTGTCGGTATTACCTTTCCAACATATATCACTAGTCGCTGTGCGACTGCCTGCGAGGGTTTAATTATGAGCCCCAAGGCACAACGGAACGAGCATGTTCCGTAACCTGATCGGTGAGCGCCCACTATCATATATATATATGTATATGAGAAGAAAAGGCGACCTCGGGAATCATGGTTTTACTGTTCTGGCCTTTTAAAAGCAAACAAGCTTCCATCGTCGGAGGTGAGTGTGGTATCGCGCCTTGCATTGTTTATAGGTGTGTGAAACTCATGTCAGGACGGGTTTTCTTAAATATGATGGCAGGGCGGCAGGGAGGAAGGGGCGGAGAGGGAGTCCTACAGCGTTTTTTCTGCTGGATGAGGGGGTGATGGATCAGCCCTAGTGGTTACCAGCACCATGCACACATGAACTGTGGGGGGCGGGGCGGAGGGAGATAGGGTGGCGAAATGTACTCAATCTTCATCGGCGGCCGGCGTTGAGATATTGGTGGCCGTCGTTCGTACCTTTATTGACCGTAGCTGGCGTCCAAGCCTGGCAATCTTGTTAACGCCGCAAGGACTGTCCGTTTTCTCGTCCAACGGACTAGTAGATGGACCGGCTGTGGTGAGCTCTGCGCCTTCGTCGGAACCTGGTTGAGAGGTGGCTGAATGTGTATCCGGAATGGACTCGCTCATGTCTGGATTCATGTTTAGCCTGGCTGCACGTCTGCTCATATGTTTACTAAGCTGCGTCCGAAGGGCTTGGTAGGCAGCTGTAAGAGCCACACAACGGTTGATGGGGGTTGTCCCCGTGTGCCAAGCCTCGATTGTTTCCCTGGACATGCGGCCGTTTTGCCGGCCCAGAAATTCGGCGTGCTCAAAGGCGAACGTGTGTCCGGAATCGGCGCAGTGTTCTGCCACAAGAGACGAATGGTTCATTCGCTTTATTACCCTCATGCGTTCTCCAACACGCTTCTGTAGCCGTTTGCCGCTCTCCATAATACCACACGAACGTCCGACGATGGCATCTTGATTGCTTTTGAAACGTCAGGACAGTAAAATTATGGTTCCCGAAATCGCCTTTTCTTCTCATTAATGTCCGGGGACGCGCATCTTATTTTCTCATAGCAATGTACATATGACAGATGGGCGCTCATTTATCAGGTTCTGTCAACCATGTTGTGTCCATCATGTGCGGCTGCATGACCATATCTTACCAACACATCTCACCCAGATATGGTAAATCATGCCCACTTTATCCCTACTGCCTATCACAATCTGCGCATATATCTGCGGATATATGTGAATGTAACCCAGTTGTCACCTGCCCTATACAGAAGGAACTGTTATCTCTCTCTATATGTCTTTTTATAGGGCACACAAATCTGAATTGTTGGAATCTGGCTTGTTAATGAAGTTACTTGTGATTCACCGTTTACTTCAGATTTTATCCTAAAAACGCTAGGCATTCAGTTAGGTGAACATGTTCTGGATACGTCAAAGAGACTGCTTTATCCTTTAATACTAACATACACGAAAATGCACCTGAAGCCAACTGACAAAACCACAGAACATACATCTTCAGAAACCTTATTGAATCTTGCATCTGAACTACGAAACAGATGATATCTCTTCATTCAAATTAATGCACACGATACTTCGTGGGTTTGACGGAGGTCAAAATACTACGCATATGGATTCGAACAGAGCGATGTAGAAATACGTGCGTACCACACACACGTGCACGCTATATGTTGTGGACGCAGGAGTAGGTTAAATCTTAAATTAGCACAAAAGGTGCTTAGGGTGCAAAAGAGAAAATATGCGTTATCAGCCTGCTACACCCAACCTCAGGTGTAGACCATCTTGAATTTGAATTAGTCATCTGCGTTACGCATTCAGTCCTCGAAAAGTCTTCATTGAAATTGCTGCCAAAGAATGCCGTATTGGTTCTGTCTCTTGCGCAGGGGCTTCGTGACTCCAACTGTAGGATCTGCCTCCGGCTTCTGACGAAGGTACGATCATCCGATATGCCACGCTGGCACTTATCGCACTTTAATTCACTATCCCGTCACATCACAATCTCTATCATCGGAGGGCACCTCAATTTTAAACGGTCTTACAATTTATATTTGGCCTTTAGATGCCACCTCCATCAAAACGCATTCGAACGTTTCTGCTGCCCATAAAGTCCTACGTCAGTACATTCATCAGGACCAAAACAAGGCGGCCATTGACAGGTTCATCATGCCAGATATGCACGTTCCGTCGACTAATTCACTCAAAGAGCTGTACAAATACAGTAGACCGGCATTCAGCTTAAGATACACAAGGCTGGAAGAAGGCAAGGACAGCAAATTACTAAAAAACGGTCGGGCTATGTTTAACGGATTGGGCTGTTTACGGAAAATGTTAGTCGACATTTTGCACAAATCCCTTTAAAAAGGGAGAGCCGACCAAGCCCACCGAGACATCATCCACTGAACTCAACTGATCCGGTGAGCCTTTCATATTGCTCAGATTGTGGATCTGCAGATCTGTCAAGATCTGCAACGCAATTCAACTCTCACTATAAACTGGCTCATTCACATGTCACCGTGTCAACCTTACCTCACTTTGTAGCACATGTCGTACATAGCCGGTCACAGTGGTCGAAGTGTGAAAGGGATGATGTGAATGCACTAAACTCACCAACTTACATCTATTAGGAAGAAACGGCAATAATAAGAGGATATCTGAAGATATACCCACTGATTGGAGAGTAGAAAAACAATTCGTAATTCATAAGCACATGCACAATGACGGTAGATTTGACTAAGTACGTAAGGACCGTTTACTGTACGACACTCAGTCATCTAAGTACACCTACTGGCAACGTCACTGAACATCAACCTACGACCGTTAAGGACATTGGGACTTGTTTACTGTTAAAATAGCCAACTATGTCGGCAAAGATTTGCGATTCAGAATTATTCTGCTTGACTTCCCCGTTTCGTTGTTCCATATTTGATCTCTTTGTGATTAAAGACGAGTTTCTTTCGATAAGATCAATTCTACTGGCTTAAACGGACCTGGAGACTTTTAAAAGAGAATCATGTTCGGAACGATAGGGTGTAGTCATGTCAAGTAAATGACAACTCCAAAAATATATCCCGAAAATTCAGCGTGAGTGTAAACATCACATATTTGTTTACCGTTTCCATTGTTTTGCAATTTCCTTCCATTCCCCGACTAAACATATCTTTACTAGCAAAGCTATGCTCAAGGATCGTTATTTGTGAAATTTGAATCCTGTTTCTTTTTTTAATCACCGTGATGACATTTGTCAAATGGCAGAAATGGAGCTATGCTCTGTTTCTCCTTGCTGCCCGTCCTGTGTGTTGCTGTCGTTGTAAAACACTCTCCGCCGCAACTCAACGCACGGCACGTGCAAGACATACGAGGGTCCTCTATACCCGATTGTCATCCTGAAAATGCAATGCAGGAATCAGAAATTACGGTCATGCCATTAACTAGCCACGAATTATACGTGTCATATGTGGATGTCACTTTTGCTGTCATTAAAATGCATTGCCTTGAAATGCTTTACGATTCTTCGACCGTCATGTTGGATGATGTCTACCGTCTGCTATGCTGTATGGTGAGATCTGGGTTGGTGATCCGCATGTGCATTAGGTTAAAGTGATCGTAGTCTTGGGACTGGAGCCGATGTCAAGACAGAATCGAGAAGACCGGAGGCGGGGGATGGCGCAGGTGGATGATGACACGGTCGAGCCTCCCACTCCACGCGCCCTGGTCCACACAGCAAACGATCAGGCTCCGACCAACAACAGCAACAACAGGTTCTATTACGACAACTATAACCCAACAGAGGGGCCAGAGCAGAAAGGAGGACTGGGCAGGTATCCGCATCCCCTGTGTACCTAGAGAAAACGGTAACGCATCTACGGGCAGGAAAACCAGATTTCTGGAAACCGCCAGCGCTTCGCAGACTGAAAGCGCCATGTTTTGCTGATGCTGGCATAGCACACGCATTCACAGAATATGAGCGAATTATTCCGCAAACTTACTAACACAACACTACCAGGAGTGTGGCCTACGTTCTTGAAAGGGCAGACTGCATACACCCTCTCCTTGATACATTCATACAGCAAAAGTCTGACCGGCCGTTTCATGCATAAACATACTGATCAAGATCTAATATTCCTATGCAAACGTTTAACCAACCATAACATCAATTCTGTTACGATTACTCCTAAGTTAAGCCATTTTTGCCGGTCGTAGTAAGGCGACATCGCGTCATCTCTGAAATTTGCGGACAGTTCATAATATCTGTTGTAAAAATTCGTTGTCATTTAAATGTCAATTTCCTTCTTTGTGCTATTAAATTGCTACTTTTGCAGTACGTTTTTTTACTCATGAAAAGACATCTGACGTCCAAATACGTCTTCGTTTCGAAAAGATAACATGAATAAGGTTTTTTAAATAAATCACCGAACAGCATAATTAAACTATGATCAAATAACTTCGTAATGCGGGTTTTCGAAAGAACTTCTTATAGGCCGCAAGCAAAGCCATTCTCTCTATAAATGACTACTGATTTTGCATGAGTTCTTCTTACTGATTTCGTATTTTATGTAAAAACATGCATCATAATATTCAGTTTTCCACTCAGTCGGTAATAAATTTCCATTCACTTTTTAACGTATGCTCGAAAACAGGGAAAAAATCGGATTTAAATTACTTCACACTTACAACATCTTTAATTATCGTGCACGAGGATCAATTTTAAAACACTCCTTAACTCATATTTTTGAAATCAAAACTCATTTTGAAACGTGATTTTCAACTTCACGTGTTAGCACGCCTGACATATATATCTTCGGAAAAAATAATTTCTTTGGGGAAGGTAAATAATTTCATTTGTAAATTTTCTACTTTTCTTCCCCAAGCCGTCCTGAGTCGTGAAGTAATTGTGCCCAGTACTTTGAGGAAAGTACAGAAATCTACTTATTACTTGTCCGAACATGTTAGTGAAGTTGTTTGTAGACCTGCGTAGATTTGGGAAATCGAGTAAAATTCCTGACATCCTGAAAACCTGTGAATGCCATATACATATCATACCGAATGGTATAGGCCGCACACCAGTAGATTGTAAGGAATTAACTCGTCCCATTATGCCTTAGGGTTTTTTCTCGAGCACAACGTGCATGTTCGCAAACATGCGGGATATTTAGGCAGAAAAGTATTACAGAAAAAGGTAATGGAGTCCGGTGAGTGCACTCCTACCATTGTATATATCCGATCGTAACCGATAGAGGAATGACCTCCGACTCAGTATTTCTGGGTGTTGGATTAATAACCAACATTTCGCTTGAGCAAGCCCAGTTTTTTTCACAAATCGAGGTTGCGTATGACTGACTGACGACATCCAATAAGCGGAAATTAACATTTCAGTCTCTCATATTGTGGTTGGTAATGTCATTCTGCCTATTATTTGCGCCGTTTTGCGGCTGCTGTTGGGAATCGACAGAGAGTCCCATAACACGAACGGGGGATGCCATTCTATCATTACAAATAAATCTATGCGTGAATTGGATAGGGCGTTCTCGATGAGACGTCTGGAACATGCTGCGTTGAAGTGCCAATAAGATCTTTCTTTAGGCATTAGAATACGCTTACAATTATCAGGTCATGCAGCATTGAAAAATACAGGGCAACAAGAACGCACGATAGAATTCTTTCTTCAGAACTTACTTCAAGGGTTTCGATCCTTTGTACGCAAATCTGTGAATAAATGATGCCGCATTGCAATCCATATATGATGTGCATTAAGATTTTGCATAACCTTTCGGCAAGGTTGTGAGTAGGGTATCCAATAAGTGGCGCTCTGACGGTCAGAGGCGTCCATGCCTGTCCAGTTTTCGAAGACTGTACGTAAGTGCGATACTGAGGTCAATAAGGCCCACACATCTGATATCATTGAGGCTTACGGGTTT